TAAACGACAGAGATTATGCAAACAAAACTTTCAGTGCACTGTGAAAGTATCAAAATAAAAAGGCCTTGTTAAGTCATGACACAAGCTCCTCATCTCAGGAGGGTAAATCATACCATTAGCATGGTTTATCATACCATCATACTAATTGGCAGGCTCAACTTCACAACAAAAGAAAAATCATCAGCTAGATTCACTCCAAACCAACCATCAGCTGCACAACACACAACATAATCCTAATGTCTATTAGCTATGAGTTTAATCACCAGGTCTGTGCTCTTTCACTCATTTAGGCCACAGATCTATTTTATTCAGTTTTCCTTTTTTCCCTTCATCATAAAACATGTGACATGTCATGCACTTCACAAAAGAAGTTTGTTCTGATGTATTCAGAGTTGTGTATCTAATACAGGATTCACTCGCACATCAAAACAGGAAACTCAGTGTTTTAGAGTCTCCACTCCACACAACAACTCCAAACATCCCATTCACTCGTGCTAGAATTCAGTCACCTTTCATTAATCTAAGAACGATCAACTAATTTGCATATCAGCTATTAACCCACTAAGTTGACAGGACAACAGAAATGCATGTTCAAAATGTTATCACAAAAATAGAATTTCCCTCATACAGTAAATTACTTGTGCTGCATCAATCAAGCAGGAAGCATCTCCCAATTTACTATATACAACTAAATTTATTGTCTGATCACTGGTTGGTCAAACCAGAATCTTTTTTCCCACAAAAGTTAAACTGTTGTCCTGCAACCTAGAGAGTCAATTTCTTGCATTGGATAAATTCAGCATTTGATAACAAGTGTCTGTAAATTTACACTATTTTAACACTGATGAGAGATCGTTAAGGAATTCCATAATTGAGGAAGGAGAGTACAAACAACCAGGTCCAGAAGATCTTGGTCAAACAATTGATTTTAATGAATACACGCGTGGGAAGACCAGTCTGTACGCAGACAGGATTGATCTTCAGACTTAATCAAAGCATACACAGATTTTTATAGCATCAGGGTTTGAATTAATGACGCCCCTTCATACGTCACAGACAGAATATATACATACGTCAAATCAAAACCACAATGACTTTTAACACAGTTTAAAAGAACATTGTCTCTGTCTCGTCTGGAACCTGTTCCTCTTTCCAGAGACAAACATGACCAACCTCTCACCTATAAATGAGTCTAACTAATGTGTGTGTGTGTATGTGTTGACCTTACATGCTCTCTCATCTCACCCTGTTGCACTTCTGACCTTTTACCAGACCAGAGGCTCATCCTTATGTGTAATAACCTAACTGAAACTACTATGTACTATGTTGAATAAATGTTTTAATCAAGAACCTCTACTAAAAGCTTAATAAAAGAATATAAAAGTATAACAGACAATTTGAATAACCTAGTAATTCAAATAGCCTCGTCTAACCTGCTCCTCAGAATAACTTAGACTCTGCTTTCACTTCTGCAAACTCTCTGCAACTTCCTGTCAGCCTGCAACTTAGTCTTTCTGAAAGACACACACACTGTTTAAACATCTGAATGCAATATCAATGCTGCAGATTATATTATTAATGCAATAGTAATGATGATGATTATTTACCAATAGCAGTAAAATAATTTCCCTGATCCACAAGAGATAACAAGCTAATTTTCATTACATGTGTTTGTGTTATTAGGCAGGTTTAATGCATGTCTGTGGAGCTGCATATCCAGCAGAGACATGTTCTTAAAGCTGCCTTTCACTACACACTTTCTCTGCTATTATTTAATCATTTCTTAACTAGATGTGCTATGATCCACTGATCTTTGATATCATCACACTAAGTGACTTGGACAAGATGATAAACAGACTCACATTACACCTCCACATTCCAATGTAAGGAACAAACACTCACTGAAGCATATAAATAAAGACCAGGGCAGTCCTCAGTGCGAGTCTCTGAGCCTCACTCTTGGAGTGTCAGTTCTGGAGGCTGCCCTTGCTAGCAAGAAATTCTGTGTGTTTCTCTTCTCTGAGTCTCTACTGAAGAAGTGTTTTAGAATATATCTGTTAACACAGGCCATAACAAATTTTTATAGAAGTTCTAAGGTTTGGCTGAAATATCTGCTTTTCACATTTAGAGACAGTTTGATTGGTGAGTATTGCTGTAGCCCTCTGTATATAGTCCCTCACTTGTAAATATCTAAAGAAGTAATGCCTATGAATGTTGTATTTATAGATTAGCTGGTCAAAGGACATGAGGTTAGACCCGTCCATTAAGTCAGAAAAGGTAGAAATACCATTCGCAGCCCAGTTCCGAAAGCCGGGGTCAGTGGTCCTGGGCAGAAAAAGAGGATAATCAGAGAAGGGAGTGAAAAGAGATGTTAAGTGAGACCTTCCTTCTAGTTTTTGAACCATTCGCCAAGCTTTAACAGTAGATAATGTGAGTGGGTTGCTACAGAGCATCGTTAAGGTCTTAAGTTTCCCCACAAAAAGCAAACTTTTCAAAGGGAAGTTAGACAGAGCTCTCAATATCCAACCAGACAGGAGAAGGCTGTTGTACCCAATCGGCAGCTATACGCATATGGGGGCTCAGCTGATACTTCCTTATATCTGGGAAATCAAGGCCCCCTTTTGAGGATGGAAGACATAACGTGGATATTTTAAGACGAGGTTTCCTCCCTGCCCAAACAAAGGAGCTGAACCAGCCATTTAGAGTTTGGATAGCTTTATGTGGAAAAAGGGTCGGAACCATCTGTATTGGGTAAAGTAGCCTTCAGAAGAGCGATACGACCGAGCCAGGATAACGGTAAGGACTTCCATCTCTCTAGATCTAATTTGACTTGCTCAAATAGGGGGGTAAAGTTACTTTTATACATCTGTTCAAAGGCTGGAGTGACCCTAATCCCCAGATATGTAAAGCCCTGTGGGGACCAAGTGAAGGGAAATGGAGAAGGGGCCCGTGGTTTTTGTTTCAGACTGCCCAATGGCATTGCTTCTGAGTTATTGAAATTAATTTTATAGCCTGAGATTTCACTAAACTTATTAATAGTTTCAACCAGAGAGAGGATTGATGTCTCCGGCTGAGTCAACACAACAAGTACATCATCAGCATACAGAATAATCTTATGCTGTCTTTGTCCTACAGATAGACCATGTATGTCCGCCTGAACTCGTACTGCCTCTGCCAATGGTTCTATGGCTAGGGCAAAGAGCAAAGGGGAGAGGAGGCAGCCTTGTCTGGTTCCCTTCAGTATCCGGACGTTGGAGGACCGCACCCCGTTTGTGAGAACTGCAGGGCAGGGATTGTTATAAGGTAACTTAATCCAGTTTATAAAGTTTCCACTGAAACCGAATTGATGTAGTGTAAAAAACAGCTAAAAATTAATAATTAAATAATAATAATTAAACAAATAATTACATCTGAGACTTTGTTTCATTGTGAGATTATAACAGTGATGGAAATATAATTGTTTGTTGTTCAGCAGAACAGTGTCCAGTATGTTGGCTGTTATACTTTGTTGTGTTTGAAAATAAAAGTTGGGCTCATTTTAACATCATTACAAAAAGTGTTGTTAATTATTTTTAATCATATTCAGGTTACCACACATTGTTTTTTCATTTAGTTGAACTTGAAATGTTTGTCAGTAGGTAAACAATTAGTATTGTACAGTCAGAAATATCCAGTTATTCTTAATACTGCAGACTTGCAATGAATAAGTTGTCCTAACAGTCATCTTAAGTAAGCTTTACTTAATTTTTTTGAGTTCTATGAACTAACTAATTAGATTTTACAGTGTACACGGACACGCCGTCGGGGCTGAAAGTTGACAGCTCGCTGACTCTGATGCGTCGGGTCCGCGCTTTGTGTTTATGTCTTTTTTGCGCTTGATTCTGATGGTTTTATCTCTCTCCAACCAAAACTCACTGAGGTTGAAAAAATTGTGTGTGCCTAACTGGTGCTGGTGCACCAGTGCAACTGTGGCAAAAGGTGAGTCTAGAGCCCTGCCTCTGGCGTCTGCTGAAATATTTTGAACGTTAACTTCTTAGATCCAATCTTCTGAAGATCAACTTATCTCTTTTGCACAAAACTTTTTACCTTGTCGTTCTTTCACTCCCGTCTCTTTCTGGACTGTGGTCATTCATTGGGATATCCAATCATCATCATTGCTGACATCCAATCAGCCAATGTTCACATCCTTGCTCTCTCTGTGACGTCAACATGATTTAAAACAAATTTAAAACGTATGATAATATTAATAAAAAGAATAATATCATTACATGTTCTTCTTTCCTGTATTGTATGTTAATATGATTTCTTACATTAATCACATATGAGTATTCAGTCTTATATAAATATATACTTTCCCTCATCTCTTATTCAGTTTGTTTGCTATTGTACATTAACAGAATGTTTCATCAGCTCAACCTCACATGGACATCATGACGCTTTCAACAGCATCTCTTTTAAACTCAGTTACAAAGGAATACTTTTCCTTTCATAACTCCATGTTTCTCAATCATAATACACTAACATAGTACGAGTATAACTATATAAATTTAAATTACTGTCTCCTTATTGTCTCAGGTTGCATGTTTCTCACACAGCACACTGGTATTCTCAGCTTCTTGGTCTTTCCTATACTACTGCACTGCAGTGGTATAGAAAACTGCAGGAATGTCTTAAAGACATAAAGACCTGGATGGCCGCTAACTTTCTGCTTCTTAATTCAGATCAAACTGAGGTTATTGTACTCGGCCCTGAAAATCTTAGAAATATGGTATCTAACCAGATTCTTACTCTGGATGGCATTACCTTGGCCTCCAGTAACGCTGTGAGGAACCTTGGAGTCATTTTTGACCAGGACATGTCCTTCAACGCACATATTAAACAAATATGTAAGACTGCTTTCTTCCATTTGTGCAACATCTCTAAAGTTAGAAATATCCTGTCTCAGAGTGACGCTGAAAAACTAGTTCATGCATTTATTACTTCCAGGCTGGACGACTGTAATTCATTATTATCAGGATGTCCTAAAAACTCCCTGAAAAGCCTTCAGCTAATCCAAAATGCTGCAGCAAGAGTCCTGACAGGGAAATCAAAGTGAAGTGAAAAGGATGGACAGGGTCAAGCAGACTGTGGCGGTCAAACAATGCTCACTTTGTGCTTTTGTGTTCTTTGTGCCAAATTTGTAACCTGTTTCTTCTATTGTACAGTTTTGGGCACCCAAAGAGAAACTGTTGCTTCAGTTTCCCATTCTTCTGATTGGCACCTGACGTGCTCTTCTGCTGCTGTATCCCATCTGCTTCATGGTGTGACATGTTGTGCCTGTGGAGATGCTCTTCTGCATACTTTGGTTGTAATGAGTGTTATTTGAGTTACTGTTGCTTTCCTAGCAGCTCGAAGCCATCTCACCATTCTCCTCTGACCTCTAGAAACTGTTGCACCACTTAAATCCCATTTCCTCCATATTCTTAAGTTTAATTACGAGGTAGGCAAGTTCTTACAACCGTGTCAGCATGCCTAAATGCACTGAGTTGCTTCCATGTGATCGGCTGATTAGATATTTTGTTAATGATCAGTTGAACAGGTATGTCTAAGTGGCTTGTGAGTACATATTCATATTTATTTTACCATTTAATTTGACCTATGTATGTTAGGTAGCTGAACTGAACTGATCTCATAATATTCAGTCACCAACTGCAGGCTTGCTGTAACACAACTAATGCCGCTGACCCAAACCAAGTCAATCAATGGAAGAGTTTCAGGGGAAAGAAATGTTTATTAATAATCATGTTAGTAATAACTGTAATAATAACTGTGATAATAATGTACGAATATTGTAATAAATAGTATTGTTTCTTTGAAGCACATTAAAAGCACACATAAATCAACCAGTTAAAGAAATACCATCCAACACACACACACACACACACACACACACACACACACACACACACACACACGCACACACACACTGTAGAAGTACACAGACACACGTGTACTTCTACAGTGTCACTTGCACAGGTTCAGTCTCACATTAAAAGTCTCTTTGTACACATTAATACAGGTTTTTGCTCTTGACATAAAGAATAACTGATACATAAAGAGTAGAAGAAAACACTGGAGCCTCGAACACATAAATAAAAGCAGACTAAAAAAATGCAAACATGTAAGTTAGGTCTTTTTTTCTTCAAATTTTACTCCATAGTCACCAGTCAAACCTTTGTGCTTTGGGATCTGCATAGGACCGGGAGGCTGTTGGCATTCAGGAGTGAAAAACGTTCAAAGGCAACCAGATCATTTAAGTCAAAACTGCTGAAGAGAAACAGATCATATCACCGGATACAAATTCATTCAGGACAGTCTTTTGTTTGCATTTCTGACGTGTGTGCATACGTTTGAAATTTATATTATTTTGAATAAAACTTCAGACATACTAGAAATGAACTAGCGTCTGCATTTATCCTGACTGAAAACCAACCGTCAAGGCCAAATCGTTTTCAGTTTTCTGCCGTACTGTAAAACACCCCTTTTTTTTACTGACAGGTGAAATCAGCAACATTTTTGAAATGATTAGTTTGAGTATTGTTTCATGCACACATGTAACAATTATGAGGGGTTTGTGTGTTTGGCGGAGCAGAGGAGAACACTGGGGAAAAATCACGAGCTTATCCACTCGAGAGCAGTTAGAAATTCTTTATTATGTTTTATTTGATGTTGTTTTTTTTATAAAATGGAAGAAATGGTGTAGAGAAGACAGTGACAGCAGAGACTCGAGGCTGAGAATCTACCGTTATCTCCTGGGCCATTTTAGCAGGTGCCCTAGATCTGGCTTCCATTGTCCCAAATTATTTCATAAACAGATTTAGAAAGAAGTGCATAGTTAAAGTGAGGCATATGGGTAACAAATCTAAATGCCAATAATATTGATCTTCTATAGCAATAACATTGTTATTCCAATTAACAGTTGGTTCTGCTGCTAATGACAACTTTAAATTGTTGTTCGTGTGTTTTCTGAATTGGAAACAGTTTGGTAGCCTACTCAAGAAAGAACACTTGTTGGAAATACTGTAAAGGTTATGTAAAGAGTAAATATTGCAGATCACAGTATAATTTCTATACATTTACAACAACACTCCAGGCTAAGTTAGTGGGCTGATCAAAGGACTCCAGTAAGGACTTCACGTTTTCACTTGCATGGGTTAAGTTATATACATGTACGTACTCTAAAATATCTTCCAGCTTTTGTTTTGTGCATAGTTCTTGGATTTGTGCTCACTGAGCCTGATGTTGTGTGAAACAAATAAGAGACATCTTTTATTATTATTTGGATAATGTGGGCGTTAAAGTAATTAAGGACAGAGATGAATCACAATATAACTTAACCTCACTGAGGTATTTAAAAGACAACTCTCAATAATAATATTCATAATAATAATAATGATGATGACTGAATTTCCCGGAGGAACCTACCCGGGGGATTGATAAAGTTCTATCTGTCTATAAGATTTGATAACTCCTTGTAGGGAGATAAAAATGAGATATTTAAATAAAATGTTGTCAAATCCCAGTACTGGTGAAACACCCACAGACCAACTGTATGCAGGATCGGGGCTTATGTAGTGTCCTTCAGTTTAAACCTGTCAGAACGTGTCTTTGCAGCAAGTATTCTGTGACTTTAGGGTGGAGGTCAGTGGGTTAACGGGGGAGGTAGGTGTGGTTTTGGCTTATGGGTGGATGTTGGGCTCAAGTGTGGAAGAGGGGGAGAGGAGGTAAATGAGGTCTGGTTGCCAGGAGCTTTAAGAGTAATAGCTGCTTTAGGGCTCGTATCTGAGGTATACACAATAGAAACAAATGGGAGTAGTTTTGGTAGGAAGCCCGAGGATTTTTATATCTCGTTGCTGAGTACGTGTACTTAATGCAAACATCACATTTTCTGATTGGGGAAGGGAAGGACGAGGGTAAAAGGCCATGCCACAGGGGAATACCACAGCTAGAGTTAAAAGCTACTTCAGACCTTTAGATAATCTCTCCATCCAGCAACAGATGAACATCATATACAGTACATGTAAACAAGCCAAGAGAAAGAACAACAAGGAAAAAAAGAACAAAAGTAAATTACAATTAGAATAACACAGCAGCGATCGGAGGAAACCTGATCTCTGCTAAGATTGACATCGTTAGAATATTTTTTGTTAAGTCCCAGTTCATGTCCAGCTGCCTGATCCCACTGCAGAAGCTTTTTCCCAGATGAACAACTCAGCAGTGGCACGCTGAGGGTGTGGTAGAGGCATCGTTAAAAAATCTGTCTGTAGACACATTCACAGATGCTCATTTAGTCTTTGAAAGAGTTTTTAGACATTCATGTAGAGAACAGTACGGACAACCAGTCTTTCACTGCGTGAAGGAGAAAGAAATGCAGCACTAACAGTGTAACAGTGCATCCTGTCACACAAACATCTGCCTCACTGAAACACCAGAAAAACAGGAGAGGAAGTAAAATCTGGGTCTCCGGGACAGTCATCAACATGATGGAGACATGATATCACCACGGTCATAAGAACGGAGTCACAGCACTAAAGGCACTCCAAGGCCAGCGAGTGATCAGCTTAAAAAGACAGAATTGGTCCAAAAAGGACAAAAGACAAAGAGCCAATTGTTCACACTCAGCATGAGCTTGGGTTGCCTTCGTTCTGTCACACCGAGTTAGATTACTGTGGCCTTTCAGTTGTTTCCACCTCCATCACTTTATTAACTGATGTAAATGAGTACTGTCCATGGGATCACTTAGTCTTATAGACCATGTTACCTACATTACCAAGTGCTATGCATTAAAGTAAGAGTGCAGTGAGACTCAAATCCTCCTCTGAATTAAAATAAAGATGTAAAGGTTTCAGTGTCGTCATATCCATAAATGTGGTAAAACATGCTACGACCCACAAATCAAACAAGTGCATGTGGGCGTCCTGCAGCAGAGCGTCTCCATTTCCAACAGGACGCACTGCTAAAAGTTTCCCCACCTCAGACTGGTCTCGTGTTTCTTTGTTGTCCTGTTCCTCACCACAGCATTACCCTCAGCACCACGATGACACTACGACTCAGCTACACAAAGACAAACCAAACAACTAAAACTCTCTGTAGTACTTCACACTTCAGCAGGACATGTCTGTTCACCTTTGGGACATGACGTGATCGTGAGGAGGAGGTCCAGCATATTATCAGAAACATGTTACTATATCATTTACACGTGTAATAAATATACAGAATACTGTTTGTTCTTTTGAAGCACATAAAAAACACCATCTGCCTAAAAAGTTTAAGTTACATTCAGTAGCTGAACAAAAGAGAAACATGAAAGAACGACACATCATCACACTTACACCACGTCCTGCGTCAAAGCTGAAAAATCAAACGTATGTCCAGGAGGTGGAGATCACAAATGACTATATTTATATATAAATACTTTCTTCTTACTGCCAGTACAATGACTACAACAATAGTAGATGACAACAGCTGACTCTGCACCATGGCTGTGTTTTTAGTACAATGTGTAAATACAGAAGGATGTCAGCAGGAATCCATAGAAACAGAAGAGTTTACACAGACTTGCTGTCACTGTGTGACTTTTCACTTTAACCCCTCTCTTAGTCCTTTTGAGTGGTGGAAGCTGAAGGCTGTGTTGAAGCACATCATCATTTCCACTTTTCATTTTTTACCCACTCTCTGTTCCCAGCCCTACCCTGCCTGTGCCAACACAATGCACAAGAGCAGTTTTTACTCCACGGCACAGTAAAACCACAAGACTGTGGTGACATCAGGCAGCCTGTCATTAATGTCCCACCTCGCTGGAACTTGAGTCGAGCTTGTAGAGGAAACCCTAACCCTTTTTCTTATCTGTGTGTATTTTTGGATTTAAAAGGCAGATTTTCTGACCGATACAGACGTTATTAGTGGAAGACAGGCTCAAAAAGCTGTAATCTCATTATGTAGTGACAGGCCTGCTGGACCAGTTGCCCCACACACCTTAACACACACACACACACCCAGCAGAAGACATGTGGGGCATGGTGGCTGACCTTCAAAAGTCACGGGGAGCTAGCGTCTCCTCATCTCCTCTTTGAACTGCACACAGTTTCTTTTTTTAAACATACTTATATAATACACACATATGGTATATAATATGTATATACACAGAGTGATGTTTGATCTTTTCAGAAACCATAAACTTAAAAAAGTTTACAAAAATAAAAATGTTTTATCGTGACCTTCCTATTTGGTCTCTAACACTCAGCAAGGCTTGTTTTTCAGGAGTTGGAGCTGGTCGGCTCCTCTCTGCTCCCAGGCTACAGACTCAGCGGTCCAGGTCCGGCCTTACAAAGCAGGCCCTTTGTCCATCCCCTTAATTCTTGACAGAAGGCCATTTTTTTCTTTTAGTTGATCTCTGTTAGTGTCCTTCTGTGTCCACGGTGATCTTCTCTCTTTTTTTTAGCAGGTGTCCATCTGTACTCACTGTTTCGTTTATTTACTAAAAGAAGAGGGCAAGAGCACAGAAAATAAGCAAGTCAGTGTAAATAAGCTGCACATCTTCACTGGCTTTTACACTCTACTGTACGCATCATGAGCATAATCTACTGTAGTATCCAGCCACTGAGAAGAAAATATGCTGGAGGATTTCTTTCCTGCAAGCTTATAAAAGCACAGTTACAACAGCAGCAGGAGTTCAACCTAATATTTGAACTTTCAACAGTCACTAACAGCTTTTGTATGGCTCATGTTTTTTATTTTGTGCTTTTTGTTGAGAATTAAATTATTCTCTGTGATTTATAACTGTCACCTGAAGCTGCTTTACTGTAATGAAGTGTAGAGTAATGTTACTGGCTGTTCCTTAGAACAGTTGGTAAGTCCACAGCTTACTAAGAACGTGGTTATTTCTTATATTCACCATGTTTTTACACAGTGTCCTGGCTTTCCAGGAGAAAGTTGCAGAGGTTGTCCAGGGTTCACAAAGTTATCAGTGTTAGTGAGATAAATGAAAACAGAAAATGTTAAGAAGAACTTGAATGACAGCGTTACTGAATATGACACGAGGTTGTGTTGGAAAGAAGGGTCCAAGGAATTCTGCAGGCTGCAGCTCCTTTTAGAGAAGCAGAGCAACAATGAACACGGATGGGAACTGATAAGAGTTTAGTGATTATTCATTATCAATATCACTTATCAATTCTCATTGGCTCCAGTTTGAGGGTCACCATCACCTCTCAGCGGCATATCAAAGACATTACATCCATGCACATTAACTACATGCAGTGTGATCGAACATTCGTGCATGTTGGAGGTGTTCCCCGCTTTGTTGTGATCGGTGATGTTAAAAAAGTGAATGCACATATTACACAGAACACTTGTCTTAAAAGTAATTCCCCAGGATAAAGACATTCGTTACTTTCATGTTACTGTGGTGGAGCGTGGTAGGCGGTGCCGTGCAGACGCACCTGCATGGCGTCTGCAGATCACGCCCGCGGTGTTAAATCACGGGGAAGCAGGGTTGTTGTGGTGGTGTGACCAGTGTAAAAATAAAGATGGCTCAAAACACGGATCTGTGGCCCACAACAGAGCCAGAGAAGGGAGGAGCTGTCCCAGATCATGGCTGACACGGCGGCTATCCAGTGGGAGCAGGTGGCGGAGGTGCGTCGCCAGCAGGAAGAGCTGCGGGACCAGACCGAGCGCCACCTGAAAAGGATTGGGCATCTGGCGGCGCTGCTCTGGGCCTGGGCGCCACCCCTACAGGGGTGTCACGACGGTGGTGGAGGAGCCGAGTGAGGCACTTCAGCAGCCGGAGGCGGCAGACGAGGGGCGCAGCGGTGCTCACGGCTGTGCCTACACGGTCGTGCCGGTTTTCCAGGTACCGGGCGTGCCCGGCCTCCGGACCAGCGTTGCCATCACCGCTGGAGACTTTAGGCGGCCTACGCAAGAGACACTGCCCTGTCATCAGGTTGGAGGCCGGGGGGGAGTAGGTTTGGCCGGATGGCTCCCCGACCTCAGTCGGGCGATGGGGATGTGTGGTGGGGCGTGGTCTGTGGTGCCGTGTGGCTGCACCTGCGCGCCATCTGCAGATCACGCCCGCGGTGTTAAATCACGGGGAAGCAGGGTTGACAGGATTGCTGTGGTGGTGTGACCAGTGTAAAAATAAAGATGTCTCTGTGGTCCCGTCGTGCCATAATTCCAGTTACTCTGTAAGATGATCTGAACACTGTCACATAGTTACCACTGAACAATATAAACCTGAAGGCTACAGTCACACACACCAACACAATCCATCCCGATGACCTCACACGTGATCTTTCTCTGAGCGTGTCGGTATGAGCACAAAGCAAAGATGAAAACCAGCACAAAGAGACTTCATAACGGTTGTCACGGTGATTCTACTGTAGCAACATGAACAGGTAGAACCGGAAGCTGCAGCCTGACTGCTGTTCAGCAGCAGCTCAGGTTATCACGGTGCTGGGTCAGCACTTCCTCAGCTTCAGCATCACTCTGCGTTCTTGGCTAGCTTAGAATATTCTCCACATCATTAAACGCTACCACCTGCTGGAACCACTGACTAAAGGCAGGATGGATTCATACTTTTGTGTTCTTTATGCCATTTAATTTGGTGGTTTTCTCTCTAAAGCACCTTGAGACGACTGTTCTTGTGATTTGCTGCAAAATGTCAGACACTGTCTCTGAGACAGAGTGATGCCACAAATGCGACAGCCTAGTTTGTCGTAAAGAAAAAGTATGCACAGTCGGAAATGTCTGATTAAAGACTCATGTTACGATCTCTCCCTGAAACAGGAGAGCACTTTGTAAAGATAATGATTGATTGCCTTGGAGCGTCAGTCTTGTTTTGGTCTTTGAAATTTGTACTGAGGATATATACAGAAGGTTTCTGTTTCATACAAAAGAAATGATTCAGTATATTCTCTGGAGATTTCACTGTGTGTAAATATTTATTTTATTTGGTTGGAACAGATCACAGAATCTAGTTTTCTGTTTTGTTTGTGTTCATCTGTAACACTTGAAGCTTTTGACTGGTCACAATGAACATAAATGACAGAATATAAATAATATTTAAATAAAATGAACCTTATGTTGTAATATTTCATTTAGGAGTAAAATGAAACCTTTAAGCTTGGAAGAAATAGTGATTTGAGTTTTACTGGAATATGTTGTGATGTTAACAGAACCTCTGTAATTTCAGGGGGATGTTTATTGATTACTGCTTGTATGTATCACAAAAATATCTTATGAGGGAAAAAAGGCAATCAAATATAAAAGTTTAGAATAAACCACAGCAGACCAAGAATACATCATACAGAACAAACAAACAAACAAACAAACAAACAAACAAACAAACAAACGCTGACACACATTTCAACTACCAAAACATTTATGTCTGAAAATCTACTGACAATAACTTGTGACATTACAACACAAGATCAGCACAATTTAAAACCTGACAAAGTGACATAAACATCAGTGACAGTCAAACAGACGTCTCCCTCTGTGGCTTTATCCAAACAAACGAGGCCTTTAAATGCGTTGTGTTGCTGCCACAATCACAGCCTCCGGTGTTTGTGTTGTAGAGAGATATGTGTTGTACATGTGTTGTAAATGTGTCAGCTGAAGTGTGAACTGACTGAATGGGTAACAAAAATAAATCAAAACGTGTCAATAACTTGAGTCCATGTAAGTTTAGTCAAATTCTCAAGACAACAGATGTCAACATAACGTTAAGTCATGTGTCTTCACAAAGTTTTGTGTTTGCTTTGTGACTTTTATGACCCTATTAAATCTTCCCAAACATCATAATAAAAAATGAATTCGTGAAATGCATCAATCCATCCATCCAGAGACGGGCTGGAGCCCGGATAAATCTCCAGGCTGTTGTAGGGTGAAAACACAGAGCCAAAGGACGACTTAGACTAACTCCACTAAGTCTTTGCACTGTGGGCAGAAGTCCATTCAAACATGCTGCAGTTTAACCAAGCACAGCACATACACATAGAAACACATTGAGTTCATTTCTGTAAAGTTTTAACACTAAGAAAAGCAGCAATATGAAAAAGGAAACCGCTGGATTTATTTGATCTTTTGTTATATTTTCAAAAGTCATTAGATCTGCTTTGATACGATGATCACAGATACATTTGAACACAATAACAAAGCAAACTGTCCGCCTCTGTCACCAAATTCAAATGATGAAATGCACAATGATGATGATGATTTTCTTTACAGTCAATATTAATTTGTAAATAATTCTTTTGCTTTTTTAAAATTCCTGGCTTAAGCATTGGGCATCTGTAAACAGGACACCGAACAGCTGTGAAGAGGACTGATGTCACAGGTTTAAAACACACATCACTCCTAATCATTTCCAGCCTCTTTTGGATTCCTGAAGAGGAACACACACACACACAGAGTTGGTAATAATACTCTGTTACATTTCTTTCTACATTTCTTTCAATGATCAAAGCAAACATTCGTGTGTGTGACTGGAAGAGCACAGATAGTTGAACACATGTGTTGTATTATTTATTATTTACATGGTGGTTATAAGAAGGAGATGTCCCATCACCACTGAAAGCACATTTTTATACATGGAGTAGTAGAGATATTTCTGCAGATCTCTACTACTTTCTGTTATACAGGCAAGTTTTTCAGTGAAATGTGATCATTTAGAAAGCAATTTCTAAATAATCTGACAAATTGGTTTAATTATTTTATGTGATTAAATTCTTTTGGCTATACAACACTTTGGACAACTTTTGTTGTTTTTAGGTGTGCATCATGGGTAGATAAGCTGCTGGGTTTAAGAGCTTCTGACAGCCAAGCCTACAAGTACCTCAAAACTTGCATACCTTAAGCCAGAACAGTGAAAGCTGGTCATCATAAATACACGCTGCAGGGTAAATTTAGAAAACACTTGGGTGGACCACAAAAGAGAAGATGATGGTGGCTAAGGAACAGTACAAACAAGATCACCTCACTTGAGGACTTGGTTCCTGGAGTATTTAAAAATAGACACTATCTCTACTTTTAAGATTAGGCTTCAAAATTTCCTTTTTGCTAAAGCATATAGTTAGGGCTGGACCAGGGGACCCTGAATCCTCCCTTAGTTATGCTGTAATAGGTGTAGGCTGCCGGGGGATTCCCATGATGCACTGGGTGTTTCTTCTTCAGACACCTTTCTCACTGTCACTACCCGATCTGTACCGGAAACCTGATCAGTACCACGCATGTGTGAAAGGCCACTACTTCCAATCGAAGCATTTGATGATAGTTACGAGTCAGAGTATCTGTCAACACCATCCTTCCAGACCATCTCCGAGGCAAGCTTTCCCAGATGAATGTGCCTGATCCCATCTGCCGGTGGATCACTGACTTCCTGACGGACAGGAAGCAGCATGTGAGGCTGGGAAAAAATGTCTCGGACTCCCGGACCATCAGCACTGGCTCCCCTCAGGGCTGTGTTCTTCCTCCTCTGCTCTT